ATTTTTTTCATAGTTAGGTTCGCTAAATTCCAATGGCACCTTCAAATCTTTATTTTATACCTTTTGATCCTTCGATCTTTAATTTATTTAAATTTGGTTGGATTGGTTATTAAATCAGAATTTTCTTCAATGAAACATTTGATTAAATTAATGAGACCTCCCAAACTATGCAAATTTAACATTTTGTTTTTGGTCCTTTAATTCTTTAAATTTCAGCCAATTTCTTTTCAATTGCATCCTTTATAATACATCTCAAATAAATTTTGAAAATTTATCATGTCTAATTTAATTCTAATTTGAAAATTTTTACAAGCTTGATTTAAAAATGACTTTGAATATTTTTTTAATTTTTTAATATTTCTAAAAATTATTAAGGGGGGGTTAAAAATGATTTATGTTAAATAAAAATCTCAACTAGTTTTCAAAGTTGTAGTTAAAGAGCTGGTTATGTAATAAGAGAGATACCTATCACCTTATACTTCATATGAAAGGTTAATTGTATTATTTTTGCTTTTAATGATAAAAGAACTTATTGTGTTTTTCTATTTTTTTTCATCTAAATTAATACTAATCCTAAAACAGTGATTTTAGACTTTGGCCAGATAGTATGACCTAATCATCACTTTTAGAATATAAATGTTGAACCTAAAAGAATGGTGAATGATAAATTAGATTTGAGCCTGATTTTTATGTTATGCCTAAAATAAGCTTGAAAGCCTTCACTTATATTCAATGAGTCTTGGTGAGATCATGTTTACCCAATTTAATTCTACTCACAATTATAGAATGAAATATATTACATAACTTAAATATTCATAAAAAAAATGACCAAGTTATATTTATAAGAAAGTAATTGTATTATTTTTTATATATAGAAATATTGAAGTCTTAACTTCGCAATGACATAATATTTTTTTTAAAGGATTTTACAATACTAAGGATAATTATTTAATAAAAAAAAATATTTTTTTTATTTTTTAAAGACAACAAACTCTTGACTTCTCGAGCATAGACCTTTTAAATATTATACCATCCTCGAGTTGATTCTTTGATAAAACAAAACAAAATATTTTATTTACATATTTTAAAATAACAAAATCTCAACTTCTTTAGTATAGACCTTTTAAAGATTATACCACCCTTAAGTATTTGATCAAAATAAAATAAAAATTTTATTTACATTTTTAAAAATAAAAAAAAGTCTCGACTTCTCAACGACATAACATTTTAAAGATTATATTATTCTCAAGTCAATTCTTTGACCAAAACAAAATAAAACTTTTATTTATATATTTGAAAATAATATTGTGTTAACTTATCAATGGGATAATCTTTTAAACATTATACCATCCTTAAGTCAATTATTTGATTTAGAAACATAACACAAAAGAAAATTAGAATCCTAAACAATTATAGTGTCACAATAAAAATCTCACAATAACCAATGAACGCATACACTTATGAAAGTTGATAGCATATTATAAACTCAAAACAAATAAAGCAAAGTATTAGGGTTTGAAATTGAACTCTAGGAGTGATTGAGGTTGGTTAGAGGTTACCAAAATTGATCTAATAGTGTCAAAAACTATTGAAATGGAAGTGGCAATGGCAATATATGGGCTGCACACGCGAACACACAATGTGGACTACAGAGCATTGTTAAACGCATCATCGAGACAAGGAGGAGCATGAGTTAGTGGATCATGAAACCATCCTCTTCTTCCTCCTTCATACAAAGGCAATGTATTGCATCACCACCTAAAGTAAAGATTCGGGTTGAGAAAATTTCAAGTTTTCTTATTTCTTTCCTTTCTCATTATATTTCTTTTTTATGATACCATGAAGATTATGGTTGCTGCCGTGAGCTGGGAAAAATGGTGTTGATCAGTGATTCGATTTAGATGAAGATGGTGGCTATTGCCATGTGCGAGTTGGGGAAGAATTCACAAGCTTAGATGAGAGAAGAGAGGATGATTTTGGTTTATAGATGATAAAAATGATAATAGAGGCCAAGTTTATATGGTGATAATGTCATGAGAGATGCAAAAAAGAAAGCTCAGTTTGAGTTATTGTTATTGTCACTATAATCTAGTTATGAAAGAGGATAAAGAGAATAAAGGTGGTGATTATTTTTTTTAGAGAGGATTTCCTTTTGTTCTTTTTAATCTTTCTATCCTTTTTTTCTATAGTGATCTTGTTTTTTTAATTCTCTTTATTCTCTTAGAATATCTCCTCTATTTTTCTTAATGTTTTTATGATTTCTCTATTGAATTCTTTTCTCTATCTCTTTGCATATTTTTCTCTCTCTCTCTGGTTTTTTTTTTTTATACATCTAATCACTTTTTTTTTATTTAATTGATTGTGTGGTCTATGTATAGGTCATTCTTTTCTTATCTTTTCATCTATTATGAAAATTTATCTCTTTATCTCTTATCTCCTATCCTTTCTATCTCTATCTCATGTTTTAGAGAGAGACTCAAACTCTTATTATTTATTTTGGTCCCTATTTATTTTCTTGATTATTGTTTCGCATCCTTAATTTTTATTTTTATTTTTTATTTAAAAACAAAGGGTAAAAAATAAATTATAATAGTGATCACATGAAATATTCATTTAGAGAAAACAAGTCCATCTTCTTGATTTATATATATATATATTAAAAAAAGAATCATCTTTGATTAAAAAAAAGTTAATAGACAAGAAATTAAAGTGCTATTATTATGGCGGAAGTGCCAAATTCGTGGGCTTTCATTTAATCAAAAAGCATACAATCACATATTGATTTTTGCATTTAATTCTTCTCTCTTCTTAGTTTAATTCATAATTCTTTAATTTACCTATGGACTGTGTCTAAATCTTAATAGTATGGTATAGATATAATAATATTAAGAGTTTGGTTGATAGAGTCTAAATTTGAACAAGAATAAATCTATTATTCCTTCTTGGTGCTCCTAACTTTCTTAATAAATAAAAGACATTAGTTCAATATGCAATTTCAAATTAGTCAATGTTTTTTCCTCTTCTTCTTCTTTTCATCATTTCCCGACATAAAATCCTTAGCTTTGTTACCACCATGATGCCTATAACCTTTTTCTTGAAAGAAATTACTATTTATTGTATTAAACAAAGTACAAATAAATCACTAAATTCATATTATATCAAGAGAAATTACAACTTGTTGTTTGGAAAAATATTGACAATATAACAATATATGATAATCTTAGGCAACAACTAGTCATTTCAATAATTTAAACGACAAAGAAATACCAATGAAATTCCCAAATGTAGGCTACCTATGGAGTAACAAATTGTACCTCACGCACATGGATGAGTTTGAGTTACAGTAAATCAACAGGGACTGGGCTGCACTGCCATACCTTGTTGATAGTAACAATCTCCTCCATCCACGTAGAAATAACCCAACAAGAGAAGAAAACATACAGTCTATGAATGATCATATAGATCTAAATACCAAGATCTAGACCTATTCATACAAAATAAAAACCAAATAATTTTAAACAGTGAATAAGGAAAACAAAGAAAGAAAGAGAAGAAGTTGTCGTCCAGAAAACTATAATTGCCAACTAAACAACTATTCTAGAAAAGAATACGTTTTAAGTTTCTTTTTAAAAGCATCATGTCTATAACCTATTTGTTAAATTTGTATATAATTTAAGAATAAGATTTTGTGATGGGATCGGTATTAGCTTCTACTGATAACACAAATAATTCAAGCATTTTCATGGAAAGAGCATTCGTTTAAATGGGAATAAGAGTAAGAAATAACTCAAACTTCAACTCCCAAAATGTATTATTTGTTATTCTGTTTCATGCTTTCCATATCCAAGTTTTTTTTTTTTTTGAATTGAGATGTAACGTATCAAAACTTCATTAATTAAAATTTATTAACATAAAAGGATAAATAGATTTTTTTTTAAGAATTAAGTTGTAAAAAGAATATTAGTTAGAGGAGGAGAATACAAATATAGAGAGAGAGGCAAAATTATGGAAAGAAATATATATATATTGTGCCTTTTCTGTCTTCCATTTTGCATGTATACGTGATGGCATCCACCTGACATAAAATGCCCTGTTATTAGAAATAAGATTAAAACTATTTTATTCTTAGACTTAAGATTTTAAACTACAGTATTATAAGAAAAACTCAAAAATTAATATAAAATTGTATATTTTTGAGATCTCAAGATTAAGTTTTAGGTTGAGTAGAGTAAACCTCGCAAACATTCCCCATAATGGGTCCAATTACGTGCGCCATTATGATGCAAAGTATACCACTAATTACAAGCTCAAACTTGTCCATGATCAGTATGTGATGGTCTCTTCATAAGGCAAAAACTGTACATCTAACCATCTAGGTGGTGACTAAGTGGTAAGAACTTGGAATCAAGGGGTTTGCTCTCTCTGTGGTCTCAAGTTCGAGTCTTTGGTTGCTCATATGATGGCCACTGGAGGCTTACATGGTCGTTAACTTCAGGGCCCGTGGGATTAGTCGTGGTGCGCGCAAGCTACCACTAATTACAAGCTCAAACTTGTCCATGATCAGTATGTGATGGTCTCTCCATAAGGCAAAAACTGTACATCTGCTCCTATCCGAGGATTTACTTCGTAAAAAACAAAAGAAGAAAAACATGTTTTTGAAGACGTTTCCAAATTAACACGGATCTTGGGTCTATTGCATATATATTAATAATGTGGGTATATGCAAGCTGTATTTAGCGAGTGAATATAAAATTATTTTTTAAAATTCTATATTATATCGGATTTTTTTGTCCTTTTTATCGCACCAATAAAGAAAAGAAAACACAATCAAAATACAATGCGTCTCCACCAAACCGGCGGCATGAGGGCCTTTTCTCCATAAAATGCAGCATCACCTAATGGCTGCACAATGACGCAACATCACCCGATGGCTGGTCGCAGATGCAATGGAATGAGATAGTTTTTACTTCATATTTATAGCAGAAGAGAAGGAGCAATACTTTTTTAATAAACCTCTGCCATTTCTAGTTCTTCTAGTAGAACTTGTTGCAAAGGAATCCATGAAGTCATGGAAAAATTTTTCTTACAGTATTATCAACCCTTCCCTCTAAAATAGTCCAACGCTAGAAGCTAGCTACATGATTGTCAGTAACAAATAATTACAATTCTACACGTTGGCCAACCTTTGGTGCCTTAGGATTCTCATTTTCTTGAGAATCTGTTGACGTTTCATGTATTGTAATAACGACATGGTCACTGTCACCTTCTAAAACAGGATTTATGGCTCCTCGGTGAAGTAATTGGGGTTTCTCTGGTGACACAGTAGGTTCCACGCTCTTAAAGTGTGCTAGATTAGAGAGCTCGTGTACTGATTCGGATATTTTCTCCACACACACAACAATCTCTACCAGTATCGATGCTACTGTTGCATCTGGCAAAATAGCTAAAAGTTCTTGATCATGCTCGAGTGAGACAGCTTTGAGAGAAATTTTAAGGTCCTTGACCGCGGTTTTGGAGTTCTCCACATGGACATTTGCTGAGGATGGAAAAGTCATGCTTTTGATAGCCGATGCCAGTGATTTCAGTGCCTTCCCGCACTCTGCACTTATCTGTGTGCATGATTCTTGGATTTTGCATCGGAATTCTAGTGGTGCCTGGAAAGAGTAGCATAATACGGTTAGTGTTTCACAGCATTAGTCATTCATTTGATAAGCTATAGAAAGAAGAAAAGAATCCATTTTATCTTTTTTGTTTTTCATTTGTTTCTTTATAGAACCTGGCTATGTGACGCTCTTAGTGGAAGTATCTTTATAAAGTAGCCTTGTAGGGTGATCTCATCAAAACACTATGGACGGCGTGCATGCTTATGACGTGTAGTAATAAATAGAGGAAGTAATTATTTATCATAAGTATGGCCCCCTTTTGTCTAATGGAATTAAACCAGGGATCTTGGCTATTAATTTTCTTTTATTCCTGTAAACGTCAGAGAAATTTTTCGTGATAGATTATTACTTGGTTATCAGAGTTAATGTAGCCATTAAGAGTTTCAATCTGGTAAGCACATTGACGCGAGAGCGCTCCAATCTTCAAGTATTGTTTCCACGGATGCCGGAAACCAAAGCGGCCGTGTCCAGGTTCCCATGTTGCAAGATTTGCCTGCAGTGATGTTTAGGAGCACTCATTGATTAGTACTTTAGCACAGCCAGCAGAAATCGTACTGCAAGCTGGCATGCATATTGGTAAAGAGTGCGCTCAACCAAGGTCAACAAAAGTGCATTAAGTTAGTGGCATTCATGCAAGACAGAAGGGCAAGTTAGTGGAAGCTGTCCTTACCATGGTTTCATCTGTGGGTTTTGAATTGAGGACTTTTTTATATCCTTGAAGAAATGATCTGTCGCTATCGGAACCTTCACCGGAATGAAAATATTCACCTCCAAAACCTGTGAGTTTATTTGTTTATCTTTTAAGGGTGACTTTGAAGTTAAAATAATATCTAGATGAAACAAAACGAATTAAGTTAATGGTTTTCAAGTCACCACACTAACCTTCTAGGTAGCTTGCAAGATTTTCTATATTGGAAGCAACCGAATTATGAAGATTTTCACCTGCCCAAACAGGACAAATACAGATGGACACAATCATGCATATTGCCCCACCCACTAGTATTGTTGATAGTCTTTGACTTGCCAACACCAAGAGTTCTTCAACTCGATACCCAGAAACAGATACCAAACTGAATGTTAATATAAATATCAAGACTCCATAGTCATATCTAGCTTTGATTCGAGGGAAAAATCGTGTGAACGTAGATGCTGCAGCTGCATACAGTACCCAGAGTGACTAGGATTAGTACAGATTGTCTTACCAGAAGTGCTTTTGTCTGTATATGTATAAGCAAGATACCTAATAAGAAGACAAGAATTCCAAGGACAATGGGCTGCCCTTTCTCTCCGGAGAGACTGGCCAGGTGTTGAGCTCCAAGTCCTAGAGCTCCAGCAAGTAATGTTGCGAAACCTCTATTCAAACTCTTGCTCAATGTTCCACCTAAACAACAATAAGATGGAAATACATTATTCGACAACTTGTGGAATCCTTTTGAGCAAATATAAAACAATATTCAAGTCCTATCAATCGACTTACCTACGGTGAATTCAAAAATTACCACCACTGTTAGCACAGCCCAGATTCCTGCTTCCCCAAAGCTCTTATAGAGAGGCCTCAAGTAATATATTGAGGACACCAGTGTGAGAGCTAGTCCCACTTTTAGGGAATGGATGATTCTTCTTGGGTCATCTTGTCCAAGTTTTCTTACGCTTTTTGCAAACCCTATAACCTCGGCCTCGGCCTTGCCAGGCAAGGCCTTGAGCAAGCCCCGTGCACGAGTCAAAGGCCTGGCCTTCTCTTGAGTTGCTGATTGATCAATCTCCATGCCTTAAAGATATATTTTGTTGGGGGTGGCGAGTATATGCACTAGAGAGAAACTGTTAGTACCAAGGGACTAGAGGCTTGAACTTTCTGAAGTTGATTACCAATTTCGAAGCTATATATATAGTAGTCGTTTGAGAATAAATTGCTTCGGAGTGTCAATTGATGGCCTGTATTCATAGGAAGATAAAGTGGGCTCAAGAATATTAAATTGATGCATGTGTTGGTGTCTTTTGTAGGGTGAGAGGACAAATGTTTTGTTTATCAAAAAGCTTTTTTTTTCCTTGTCTCTCCAAAATGTTGCCAACGAGGCATGGTTTGAATAAAAATTATTATAAAACTTGGATAAAAGGTGCCTTTTAGAGATAGAATCAGCCGATTAATTAACTATGACTCTTTTGAGTTTCGGCCAACTCTCAGCTGCAAAAAAATAGCAAGGGAAGTTTTAGCCCACTACTGATCTAGGAGCCGCAGGCTGCAGTAATTTCCAGGATATAGCTGTAAAACTAGTTTTGGTGCTCTCCTTCTCATCCACAAATCCCCACCATGGAGCCACTTCTCAAAACCATGTACGTTGATCAACAGCCACAACAAAGTTTATGGTGTGCTCCGTATTCCAATACCTCAAGGCTTTGCAATTTCTTCTGGGAACTAATTCCCAGCCTGAAGTTTATTGAATAAACTAAGCATTTTAATTAGTTGGTTCCATTTTCAGACGCCATTCTCTTTTGTTGGAAGACCATTTCGAACTCTAAAGATGCAAATTGATTGGAGAGTCTACAATTATACAAATAAATTTTTTATATAGAGTTTTCATAGAAACTACGTGCGGTATTAGTTTTTTCTTATTAAAACAATAATTATTTATAATTTATGAAATTTATATTTTGTCACTTGAAGATGGACATATCAATTTCTATGAGAATTCGAGGACAAGTAATTTATTTGTAAGTTATTTTCCTAACTTAAATCGGGGAAAAGGAGGATGCGTATAAGGGGAAACACGTATTTTAGCTGTTGTAACTTCAGAAATGTTCGACTTTGGCCCCTGTAGATTAAATTTTCTCAATATCAATTCCATGCTTTTCAGAAACTTCCATCCTGACCCTTTACTATCAAATAGCTAATGTTTATTTTGTTTCAAATTTTCTTTCATTGTTCTTATTTTTCTCTATACAATGTGACAGTAATCTACAAGAACTCTTTCAGATTCCAAAAGTACTTGCAAAAATGGAAAAAATGGCCAAAATGCTAGTTGTTAGCTTTTTTACAGAACAACACCCTCACCTTTTAAACTATAAGACCCGTAGTGTAATGCTGCGTCTTCCACAGGATTTGAATGTAGCTCAACACTACATAATCGAAGCAACACAAAGTTCCAAGAGAACGTCATCCTGCCCTATTAAAGCTGCTACACAGCACAAGGTTAGAAATTGCCATCACTATGTTCTTAATGGAAGGAAAAGAAAGGTAGATTTTACCTTAAAAAACTAAGGCTGTTAAACTTGCATCAACCATTATCTAACTAGTGGGACTCAGTGCTTCAAAAGATGGAGATATCCCATAATTATTTTCATGGGCTCGGTGATTAATTATCCATGAATTGTAATTAAAGTTACATATTAGTACTAATCAAGATAATTTATGAATTAGTGTTGAGGCACTGGAAAGAGTGTGAATATCACTAGGAGTTCATGAACTATTATTAAATACACTAAAACAGGGCGTAGGGAGTCGAACAAAACTTAGTGTGTACCACCCCTATATATAATACCTAACAAAAAAACAAAGGGTAAGAACTCGGCACCACTATCCGCTGCTAAATGCTTCGACAGTTCATAATAATAGCATCTCATTTAAATCATAGTGACAGCATGATGACAATGAAACGCAGGAAAAAGTAAAAAAGAAGTGATGAATCTTAGGCAGCACAATATAAAATTGTTGCTTCCAATAGACCCATGTTATCTTCTACACTTTCAAATTAATTAATTAATTTGTTAATTAACAAAAAAAAAAAACCCATAGTTGTTAAGTCCGAAAACTTGACCTAGTAGGTTGACCTAAAAATTCCTGACACCTGAAATTTAATTGTAGTTGGGTTTTTAGTTGAAGAATATCCAAGAATATAGTTATAAATGAACTTATAAGCATATTGACTTCATGAAACCTCAAAATGAAGTAACCTAGATTTTTTTTTTCTGTTTGTCCTAGAATCGGGTATTTCTTAAATCAGGTGAAATAACTACTATAAATTTGTATATTGATCACAAAGATATCTTCAAAATTGTTCATATTTATAATAAATAAAAAGTATTGGATTCTTCAGCTCTAAGGAAAAAACGAGAAGTTACAATTGTGGATTATTCACGTAACTTAAACCCTGTGGCCAAATTACTCGGTATAAATGACTGTGGATTATAATAGCAGAATTATATTTCTGGCCTTTTAAAAAAACTCAATGAAATAGCCTACAAGGTTATATTTGTATTTTCACATAGATCATTTGTTATTTTAGAATTACTGAGGGTTATCTTTGATTTACTTCAACACCCTTAAAAGCAAAATATCACTTAACCATGTCTATGGACATTCTTGATTTTTTATTTTTTATAAGCACTATATAATAACTCTATCACCCATAAAATAAAAATTCTCAAATCATCTTTGTAGTGGATAATTTATCATTTTATAATAGTTTTTTCACAATAATTGGATAATGTTGCTTTTTGATATAGTTAGCACGTGTAGGGCACGCGTCAATGTGCTAACTACTCCATCGTATTTGAAGAACGCATGAGACTCATTCTAGTAGTAGAAAAAAATATATTGTACTATATCATCTTATGTCTCAACATTCTTTTTTTATCTAGGAAGCATATATATGGTAATTCTGTCTGGTTTTGATGCTACATTGATTATCTTTTTTCCCTTCAATTCTCTCCCTTCTACCTTGGTTTGCATGCTAATTATGAAAAAAATCATAAAAACTATTTTTTTTTTTGTTTAGATTGAGCCCTTTTTCTTTGAGTTGTAATTGTTTTATTTGAAAAAAATCACTTCAAATTGGAGTATTTTCTCAAAGTTTTTCATTTTTCAAATTTGATTCCTAACTTTTTTTTATTTAATTTTTGTTTTGAGATGGCTGTTTTATTTGAAAAAATCACTTTAACTTGGAGTATTTTCTCAAAGTTTTTCATTTCTCAAATTTGATCCCTAACTTTTTTTATTTAATTTTTGTTTTGAGATGGCTTATAAATTTTATTTATTTATTGTGATTTCATCGTCATTTTGTTTTTCATGTTTTGTCTTCATTCCTTTTATTACTATTTTTTCTTCCAATTATATCCTTCAAAATTAAATTAGTTAAGAATTAAATTTGTGTTTGAACTCAAATCTAAAATTTCACAAATTATGATTTTGAAAAATTAACTCTGGTTTAGAGGATTCGTCTGAATTCGTTTGATTTTTCATGTTATTAATTTGGGGTTGTTTGTGTGTGTGTGTGTTATATCAAATTAACTAAACTTATTAAACTTAATATACTCCATAGCTCGAGTATTGAATATCTTTTACCTATTTGGAAATTCAGTGTTTACTTAATTTTTTTTTTTAGGTTAAAAAATTTATCCCTCCCCATGGCATTGTGATGACTATTGATATAGGTTTATTCAAGTGGGTTTTATTTTTTACCATATTTTTTGAATTAATTTTTTTATTTATACTTTTAACCTTCAATATTTGATTATAATTTAACTTCTTATTATATCTTGCTACAAGTTTCATGGTTTTATCATCATCAAATACTTATATTGTGGATTTCGCATGGAAATTATAGCTAGCTCGAATGAATCTCATATATTGATGTTTCAAAAAAAAATTTAAAAATAATATATAATGTGTTATTATTTAAGTATTTTAAAATATTTTATCTGGTATGGATTGAAACGCTAATTTTCTAATATTTTTTAAAATTAATAAAAAAATAATTTAATTCTTGGGGTAAAAAAACTAATACGCTACTAAAACCCCATTGTTTTGAACATTTATGAATAAATATACTCAGCCATCAATAGATCTAGTATGTATATATTATCTTAATTTATATGCTTGATAACCTAGAAAAATGTTCATCATGTCGATTAGCAAAGTCAGCAATCACTAGTGAGTAGGATCTGACGCGATCGTGTATTTATAACATGTTAACTTTTACTTTCTTTTGATTTTCTACCAAACCAAAATTGGGATCCTTTATGGGAATAGAAAGGCATGGCAGACGCGTGCGTGTGTGTATTAGTTATACCACAGAATTTTTAGCGAAATAGAAATTAGATGGTGTTGTTTCTCTTTTTTTACTCCATGAAAAAAGCTTCCAAATACACCAAGTTATGGCACAAGTGTGTCTCCAGCTAACTCATGAAGAGGGAAACAGCTAAGCAAGCCGATGGTTGAATCTACTCTAGAATTGTTCCTTGCCAGACTCACAACCAGTCCTCGTCTGCATTCTATTTCCTTTCCAAGCATTCATGACGCGTAGACAATTTCAGGAGTCCCAGTAAGGAATAATTAATCACATATCCATGTAGAAGGAGGGGACATGTTTTTGTTCTTTTGGAGCTTCGTTGATTTTGATTGATGAAGCTTTACGAGCTCTCCATATATACTGCTAGACAGTGAGGATATACCAGCTAGTGTTTATTCTCCCACACACTCCATTTCTATAATGCAACACTCTTCCTTTTTGGTATAACATTCGGCCCTAGTGTTTCATTGATATATCATTGTTTCTTAAACTTTTGTTTTTCTTAGTAATAAGAAGCTAAAAACATTCTTTTGATCTAGAAATTTGTTCGATTTTAGACCATACTAGATTTGTGTGCCATGTTAGGCGTGGGCAATAACTTTTTTAATGGGTAACATAAGTGTATTTTAAAGAACTGTAAAAAAAAAATAACCCAACATATGGACCTGACTGAGAAAAAAAAGCTGTTATAATTTAATGAGATAATAAAAAAATAAGATAATTTATAATTTGAACAAAAAAAATCATTGGAAACTGCAAAAAAAAAAACCGGTTATTAAAACAAAACTTGTAAAGAAAACAATCTTGAATTTTTTAAAA